ATTCATACATCTTTCAGTTAAATGCAATTATCTCTAAGCTATTGGTGCTACTTTCAGAGCCAGAGTGACCTAGGTAATATGAGATTGTTTAATGTGTGGCATCAACGCCATTATACTTCTTTACATTTTTTATATTGTTAAATAATTTCGGAGCACATTCTAAATGTTTAGTTATTTCAGTAGAAAAACAAATACACATAATTAATAATCATCATAAAACAACATAATTAATTTGCAGACTTTTTGCCACTTATACATAAATGCAATGTTTCGAAGACACAGTTCTTCGCATGTGAGTGTTGTGTTCTTTACAATAAAACTTGAGAAAGTATCTATTACAACATCAAATGTGTTATTATCTTAATCTGCATCTGCATTATGCTTTATTTTTGTAACTTCCCTGAAATTTATTGAAACAATCCTTATTTATAGAACTCACTTCGTGCTTCTTCAGACGCATAGCATGGGTGCGAGCTCAGTATTATTCTTGTATATGTACATTGTGTATGTCACATACTATTTATCACTTTTTGGAATTCTCTAATTTTTTTATTGCAATCTATTTGCCTTGCACAATATTTTGATTTATGCACTTACTGATCCGCTAGTATGGATAAAGTCATTATCGGTGTGAAACCATTTATCCTTTTCCTGTATTAAATTTATTAAATAGTTTTTCAAGTACCTATTTTATTAGGAAAAAAAAATATGCTGCTATTGTGTTGTAAACAAATTAAACCTTCTTTGGAATACTCTTTTTTGTGAAGGGACAATTTTATGATCAGTAAGAGGTCCTAACTTGATCTCTGTGTAGTTTTTTCTATTCTATTCTATTTTCTTCCGTCAAATAAATATGTATGTATGACTATTTTTTAATTCTTAGTTTTTATATGACCGACAACATAGTAGTAGTCCAACAATGTAAATTGAAGAGGAATATCCACATTCATCCCCTTATCTTTTTTACCTTTCTATGATGAAGAACAAATCTTTAAACGAAATTTTCTTGTAATTTCAAAAAATATATATAAAAAACAATTAAAATATGTTTCAGTTTGTGCTCGTTTGGAATAGAACACCCCATATATTTTTGTCGTTTTTTAAATCGTCTTTTTCTGATTGCAATGATAGATATATGTCACATATTTGCAAGGAAGATTTTGTCACAGATTTTTTATGTATTCCTTCTTTCCTTCCTTGCAAACAAATCTAGAAAATTTCCTAAAACTTTGGTTTTTACCATTTTTTTTTCTCTATACAAAAAAAAAAGATATGAGTATAATGTTATGTAAATTATACCTGTACAAAATCCAGAACTATTTAATTGAAACTATTTAATTGAAACTGACGACATTTTCTTGAGTTCATTCTAAACAATAAAAGTTAGAAATAGAATTTTTCGGAGTGCATAGATTTCATTAAAGTGTAGCGATGTTTTTCGTATTCCAGATGCAAGTTAAAATAAATGTTAATTTTTCAAAATATGTGCTTCTCTGCACAATGTGGAATTTAAAACTTGGCATACTGCCCATCTTAAAAGTATGTGAACTACCAACCTAAATACTTGATCAGTTCATAAAAAATGGTTCACTAATCAGATTTAAGTAGACATTTTATTGATAAAAAGTGTTAAAAACACGAAATACTAATTAATCACAATTAGTTAATATTTCGTGAAATATTTATATTGTCTGAAATTATTTACATACCTATTTGTGCCATATTTCAATTTATCGCTATTTAGTAGTCATTATTTTAATATTATAATTAATTATTTAGTAGCGAGTATTTAGTATTTTATCATTTATTAGCTTTGTCAGTGTGAAATTTTTGAACAGAAAAAATATCCTGATTCTTTTAGTGCAAAGGTTTATTTAATTTATTTTTAATTTTTTTCACAACTGCAAAATAACCCATACCTTAATATAAAAATATTTCAGTTCTTATTTGGATTAAATTTATGTTTCATATGATGATAATTTATCTCGTTTGGACAAAACGTCGCTTATAAAAAAAGTCGTTTATTAATAATAATATATTTCTTAACGATCTCTCTCAATATTTTCTCCATAATTCTTCCTTCGATCACTGCTTAGTCCAAACAATATTGAAGTTGAAATAAACGTGAAGTGCTGTCTATGGAATAACTATGGACTAACTTCATTTGACACAATGAGCATGGACTACATTATTTGCACAATGTGCCGGATATACGAGGCTGTTTGATACAAGATTATAACAACTAATTTTTTACAGTTCGTTGTCCTTCTACATTATACACAAGTTTGTGTTTTTTATGAACCATAAGTGAACACATTAAG